CGCGGGTCCCCGGCCAGCAAGCCCTGCGGCAGCGCGAAGCGCGGCGTGTCGGTGAGCAGCAGGAAGTGCAGCGGCGCGGGGCCCTCGCGGCGCAGCGCCAGCCCCAGCACCACGGTCTTGGAGATGATGCTCACCAGCTTGTAGCAGTGGCCCTCCCGCACTGGGTGCAAGTCGTAGGGGTTGCGCGGCGGCCGGCTGGGCACCAGCACGTTCACCGGGAGCCGCACGCGCTCGATGATGGCGCGCACCGTGTGCTCGCCCTCCTGCATCTGCAGCTCCAGCGGGCTGCGCGTGCTGAAGCGGCCCTGGCACTGGAAGGGCAGGCTCAGGCTCTCGTTGGTGCGGTGGTTCATGCAGATGAGGCAGGGCATCTTGCCTTTGATGGGCCTGGCGCCCCCGCTCGCGCCCCCGGCGCCCCCTGGGCCTCCCACCCCGGCCAGTGCCCCGGCCCGGCCCAGCTTGCGCAGCAGGGTGGTAAAGCGCGAGCGCTCCTTGGTGGTCTTGGCGCACAGGATCTCCGCCTGGCCCATGAGAGTGAGCTCGTCGCCTGCGTGCAGCGTGAAGTTGTACACTTCGCTGTCCTCGCTGAACTCCCCCGACACCACCTGGGGATCCCAGAAATGGCCGGGCCTTAGCCAGGGCCCCAGGCAAAGCCAGCCCTGTGAGCCCCTCCAGGACCCAGGGGGCAGCCTCAGGGTCCTCCCAGGGCTGAGACTAGATCAAGAGCCCTTGACTGAGTGGAAAGGGGGGTCAGGGACCCATGTTCCATCCTAGAGAGGCCACGTGGTGGCTGTGCAACCTTAAATGAGTTACCCCTGGAGGCCTTAGTTACCTCACCTAAAAACTTACTTGGAAAAGTTGCTCTAAGGATTAGACTATACGTATAGCGACATACTTTGAAAATATTCAATAAATGATAATTTTTATCATTATCTTTATAATGTGGGTGATAATAATGCTCCACCCATTCAACAAGGCTATTGAGAAGTGAATTGCTGGATAAGGGTTTGTAAAGAGCTATCTATACACAAATGAAGGACAGTTTGCACTCTGCCCCCCACAGCCATCACCCCTGAGAGGTCTCCAAGTCAGGGCATGACCCTTCACACACCCCCTCCTGCTTCACCGCCTTTTGCAGGAAGTTCTTCAGCCCAGAGGGCCACACATCCAGCTCATTTGTCATAGCCTGTTGGTGCAAAAGGCCCTCAAGGGGCAGTCAGAAGTCACACTGTGACACCTTCTCCTCCTGGACCCTAAGGCAGCCCTCCAACCAGGGTCAGAGTTGCTCTGAAGGGAAGGGGCAGCATGGGAGCACCATGCCTGGTGCCAGGACTGACCTTGACACTGAAGGTGATGGCTTCCATCACAAAGATGCGGTCAGGAAAGACGCTGGCCACCTCCTCCACGCTGCTGAAGTACCTCACTGGCTCCCGCACATCCCGGGCCTGCTCCAGGAGCTTGAACTTCCCTGCACAGGAGGAAATGCAGGCTGCTAGAGTGGGCCCTCTTGCTGGGAGCCTGGCCTGCATCCCAAGACCTCATGGTCCCTACTTGCTCCCCTCATTTCAGCTAGCTCCTGTGGAACTCAGGTGGGCAGAAGGGCAAGTTTGCACCAGCATGGGTAGAAAGAGCTGGCTCAAGCCTCACAGGAGGCCCAGCAATTAGAACCCAGCCCTCACCCGGTGGAGAGCTGTGGGTGTGTGATGAGGTTAGCATTGCCTTCCCAGAGGAACCCAAGTACAAACTAGAGCCCAAATACTTGCACACGGAGCTGACCTCTGACCAAATATCACTGTGGCATTGGGGATCCTGGCTCCTAGCTTGGCCCCAATCCCACTCTGGCTTGCTATGTCCCTAGACAAGTCCCTTCCCCTCTCTGGGCCTCCAAGTCCCCATCTGAGGAAGTCAGGGCAGATGATATTGGGCCCAACCCGGACTTGGCATGCTGTGCAACTACCTTAGGTTGCTGATCCACACTGATGCACTAAGCAGACCAGAGGCCCAGCCTCAGGCTTTGGAGGCCCAGGGAGAGACACTCTGACCCCAGCTCTGTTCCCAGACTTGCCCTCATCCAACATTCAGCTCAACTGTCCCAGAGGCCTGTGATCTGAGCCCCGCAGAGCCGCCTCCCACAGATGAGGCCTCCCCACCTTGCAGTCTAGGGCTATGCACTTTGGCTGCAGCGGATGCCCCCAGCAGACTCAGACTTTAAAGAATGGTGATAATCCGTACAGCTGACACCCCTGTATAACATTCTCACCTAACTGGCCCCACACATTTTATATGCCCACTATATGAGCACAGGGATAGGCTGTGAACCACCCTGACATCTAGCTAAATGGCCTCTTCTCAGGACTGACACAGAAGGAAGAGAGTCTTACATAAGTGAGGGGACAACAGGCTAAGAGAAGACAAGGTGACTCTTTAGCTTCCGCAGTCTTCCTGTTGCTTCCTGGTTGATTCAGTCATAGTCCATTCACTTATTCATTCCATAAACATTTATGGAGCACCCACTGTGAGCCAGACACTGGGCTAGGCCCTACGGAGGCTGCAAATCTTGGAAAAATAGTCTGCTTTCCAAGATTTCCAGATATGGTGGGTGTGACAGTGAGCACCCAATGATGGCAGGATGTGACAAGCGCTACAACAGACTTGTGACAAAAGAGCTAGCTAGAGGCCTCGGAGTTGGGGGAAAGCTGCCTGGCAGTTTGAAGGGATCTTAAGAATGAAAGTTTTATAGAATGGACAGTCCACGTGGAAGAAAGAGAATGAGCGAAATGGAGTCACAAAAGCAGACTGTCTGCTCCACATGGTGATGCATGGAGGGCAGGACTTGAGGAGAGTGGTAACCAGGGGAGAAGTAGACAGCATCTGGGTTCCCAAAGGCTCTGAATGCCAACCGCCCCGTGGAAGGACACTCATCAGACCGGGGTGACTTATGCAGGGCAGGTGGGAAGGAAGGGACTCAGGCCGCTAGCCTGGTCCAAAATGGAGCCAACAGAGCTATTAAGCAAAACTGGAAACCGGGGTGAGGGGGTGAGGTGGAGAAGGGTATGAGGGGATAAATGGTGATGGGTGGAGACTTGATTCGGGGTAATGAATACACAATCAGCGTACAGATGATGTGTTGCAGAACTGTGCATCTGAAACCTGTATAATTTTGTTAACCAGTGTGTCACCCCAATAAATTCAATAAAAAGGAAAAAGCCTGGAAACCCAGGAGAAACAGGTTGTGGGGCAGGAGCTGGGGGAGCCTGGTCAGTACAGACTCAAAGGTCACCAGCCCACAGGAGGCAGCTTCAGCTGTGGGGCAGGTAAGAAGGCTCAGAGAAGATAAGAGAGGGTCTTAACACTTTGGAGACCCTCTTCCCAGAAAAATGCCTGTAGTGTACTCCTTTGTGAACACATGCCATTTGGTATGCCAGGGGTTCCTGGAGCCCCCAAACCCAACCAGAAGCCCAGATTCTCACACACACACACACACACACACACACACACACACACTGCAGGGGATGAAGAGCGGAGGACCAGGGGCAGAGCCTGCAGCATCAACATCTAGGAGCAGGAAGAGAAAGGGAAGGGAAAATGCCCAGGAGAAAGTTGGGAGGAGAGTCCCTGGGTCCTGCCCTAAGCACTCGCAGACCCTGGGGAAGAGGCCTGAAATGTGCCACAGCCCTGGAGGGCAGAGGGATAAACTGGGGAGGGGGCCGAGCAAGGAGCAGTGACCTGGGGTCAGGAAGCAGGAGTCAGGGTCTGCTACCATCCAACAGTGTATGGCCCATCTCCTCCCCATATCCACGCACAAACCCCCCCACTACAAGCAGCCAGGCACGGAGAAATGCCCGCTGCCCCCCTGTGGGGGGAGCTGCAGCCAAGTCAGAGCTGGAGCCCGGGGGGGATGTGGCCGGGAAGATCGATGTAACCATGGTAGCCAGCGCCGCCCCTCGGCTGCAGCCGGGAGCCGGGCACCGGTCATTACTGCCGGGAGGAAGGAAGGGAGACCTCCCGGGAGTGATGCTCCGGCCACTGGAAGCCTTTTCTTCCCCCTGCAGCCCCTCCGCGGACAGCTTCCTCTCCTGCCTCCCCCTACGTGAGGCCCGAGGTCCCCGCGCCTCCAGGGACCTGCCCAACCCCAGCCTGCCCCTCCCCCTGCCCTCTTTCCCAGGGTCCTTCCAGCCGTCAAGCCTCTCACCCCTCCTCCCATCCAGCGCCTGACCCAGGGCAGACGCTCGGAAAGAACGGCAGGTAAATGCACAGAGTATGGAGTCGGGACAGACCAGGTTGAATCCCAGCTCTGCCACCAACCAGCTGTGTGACCTTGGGCAAATTATTTCATCTCTCTGGGCTTCAGTTTTCCCACCTGTAAAATGAAAGCGCGCTGCTCAGCTCCCAGGGCTCGCCTGCGGGTGCTCCGCAGGGCCCTCGGCCAGCGCTGGGGGAGCAGCCTGGCCCCGGCAGGGCCGGTGGGGGCTGTCTCAGGGGAGCCAGGTATCCCCGATCCCTGGGCAGTGGGCCGCGGCCTGAAGACCCTGGTCCCGGGGCAGCGCCCCAGCCCCGCAGCCCTTGTCCCCTCCCCCGCCCTCGTCGCGGCTCTCGGGGGTCCGAAGCCGGCCGCGCCCGCCCGCACTATTATTAATTCATTAGAGGAGACGGAGCGGAGCGGTGCACTCAGCTTCCCCGTAAACCCACCAGCCGGCCCCGCCCCTCCCCCTTCCGGGCAGGCCGGAGCCGCCCACCCGAAAGATGGAGTTGGGGCAGCGACATCCCTGCAGGCAGCTGTCGCCCCATGACCACCATCGTACACACGCACTTGGGGAGCAACAAAAGACGCGGGAGCAAGGGCTAGGAGCCCCCGGGCCCATGGTTGCCTAGAAGGCTCTGTGTCTTGGTTTCCCAGATTTTTGATGACACTAACTGAAAGGATGCAGTCCCTTAAGTCACATTTCAGTCCGAGAAGGGCTATTTCTAATCTGCTTTTTTTTATCCCAAGAAGAAGACCTGGGACCTCTCCCAGGCAGGAAGCTTCTAGCTGCAGCGGACCCCCTCAAGGGCTCCCGGCCCAGGGCCAGGTCAGAAAGACGCTGGAGATTCCTAATCTCTTAAATGGGGTGTGGGGCTATGGGGGCACCAATTTCACAGCGTTGTTGTAAAGAGCAGAAGCATGTAAAGGGGCCGAGTTCTGTCCCACTGGCTTAGGGGAGACCCAGGCAGGGCCAGAGGGGGAACAGTGGTACTGGTGGGGAAGGGACTGTGAGCCTTCCCAGCTCAAAGGGTTCCCAACCTTTGTTGGGGGTGGAGAGGAGGAGGTAGCAGTTAAAGCATACAACTGGGCAGCTCCTGAAGCTCCTGAGGCCTGTTTCCTTGTGAGTTAAACGGAGTTGCTAAGACTTTCTCACAAATTGCTGTGAGAATGAAATGATGAAAATGCCCAGCCCAGTGTCTGGAAAGCTGTGGGATCCTGGATTCCCATGGGGCCTCTCTGGGATGAAACCACCAGACCCCCATCCCTCCCACACTCAGGACAACCACCCTGCATTCCCGGTGTGGTGCAGCAAACTGTGTCACCCTGGGCAAGTCACTTCCCTTCTTAGGTGTAGGCCTCTGTGTAAAATGAAAGGGCTGCACTTTCTTTTTTTGGCAGCATCAACCTTTCTTTAAACAAAATGTTATGTAAGACGTCAACAACATACATAACACAAATCAAAATGGAAGTTCATTAGCATAATCTTATTTAAAAGTCTAAGATTTTAACATTCACTTATAAAGTCACTCAATAAAAATAATGAGTTTAACATTAAAACTGGGAAAATCAAGATTAAAGCTGACAGGTGCAGCCAGATTATCAGCCTGAACATCTCTTTGTTTCTGAAGATTTTTTTTTTTTGAAATATGTTTTTATTTATTTTAAAGAGAGAGGAAGGGAGAAAGAGAGAGAAAGAAACATCAATCGGCTGCCTCCTGGGGACTGAACCCACAACCTGGTCATGTGCCCTGACCGGGAATCGAACTGTGCACGGGACCATGCTCAACCAACTAAGCCACACCAGCCAGAGCTGTTTCTGAAGGTTTCTGGTTGCACAGTACTGAGAAGATGCTGGCAGGAAATGTTCTCTTTGAGGGTCTGTACAAAAAAAGGTTAATGAGGCAGCTCAAGGTACACACCAAAGGTCTCTAGTTAGGGTTAAGTTTGGGTTTGTAGCAGTTTAAGAGTGTGGGTATTTTTTACATCAGTTTAAAATCTATTTTAAAATAAAATGTGAATCAAAGGTTTGCAACCAGAAATCCAGGGCTCCCCACAAGAATATGAAAACCACTGGGCCCTAACTCTAACCTAACCCTAATCGCCACCCTGCCAGCCCTGTCCTCACTCATCCCGTGG